AGTTAGGAGAATTTACAACACAGGCCTAGCCAAATTTTCAAAAATGCTGCAGATATACAAGGTGTCTGAAAAGTTACTGTGCAGTGAGAAATTATAGTTAAATTAAAGTTATATGCACTACCATAGGTATAACTTTAATGTCATTACAAATTTCTCACTGCACAGTAACTTTTTTGACACCCTGTACAGTAACTTTTTTGATTATTTTTTAACATTATAAATCATTTTTAACATTATTTTGTATTCTTATTTAGTATTATATAAAAAATGAATGTAAATAAGGGAAAATTATTTACACTGCATCAGAACCAACTTTATTACAGTTGTTTTCTTAATCACACATTCATTCAACACATATGATGAATTAAAGTAAACTGATAAATTTTTGTGGTTTCCAAATAAACATTTTATCATCATGACAATTAAATAGCTTAACAAAAATACATTCTAAATTAATCTAAAATTATATAGTATTTTTTATAACAATTTACTTGAAAATTAAATATATTGTTAAAATTCATTTTTTTTTATAAATGTGTTAATATTTCTAATAATGGTAATAATTCTCCAAATGTTTTTGAGGCTAATATTCATAAAAAGTAAAATACTGTAGTGCTTTTTTAAATTTCACTGTTACCAAGTTATTGATATTGCACTAGTAAAATTAAATCAGTTCTAGATATTCAAATTAAGCATCAAAATATCACTAAAATTTAGAGAACTCATATCTTTTTTTTTTCATTTCTATGAATATAAGCAAATATTTTAATTTTTCAACACTTAATACAGTGCAGTGCTATTCAAAATGTCATCCATGTGCCAGTGCATGGTCCATGAACAATTTAATACTGGGCCACAATGAGGAGATTTCACTTAAAATTTTATTATTTTATATATTACATTAATAAAAATTATTCAAAAATGTCTTGAAAAGGCTTTTAAAAGCATGTTATTTAATTACTTTTATCTATCTTTATTATTTAAACATTTATTATCAGGGATAGACTGGTGATTTAAATTGGTCCAGGAAATAACTCTAACTAACAAACAAACTCATTTTTTCAAAATGATTAGAATCAAATTTTATTTTTGTATTTTTCTTTCTAATTCAGTCTAAAAATTTAAAAAAAAGGAAGGGGGAAAAAAATATCTGGTCCATAAACACGAAGTTTGATAAGCACTGATATAGTATTTTTGCTTTGCATAGTTATTATAATAGCATACAATCATTAATAAAAATTTGATTGTGAAATAGACTACATATTAAAAGAAACAGAGAATCCATGAAAGAGTAGAATATCACAAATTATAAGAGAAAGTTTATGTCTTAAGTAAAAAATTGGTTTTATAATTATATTAAATCATTTTGTTATGAATTGTTTTGATTTCATTATACTTTTTCATTTAAAAAAAATCAAAAAATAATTTAAAATCAAGATCATTTTGCCTTTTGTTTATTTTTCATTAATTAAACATAGCTGATGATGTGACAAGAATTTGAGAAGTAAACAGAACTAATTAGATTTTAATTTAGCACTCCAATAAAGTGAAAACTCACTAATTACAGAAAATAATTTTATGAATTTAAAATATATATAAAATGCTACTTTTTTTGTTAATAGAGGAAAAGATAATCAAGAAACTAATGCAAATAATTTTAATAATTAAATTATATTTTAAAAATATCATTTGCTTAAGATATTCATTGTCTGAAAAGTGATGCAATAAAAACAACTTTCCTATAAATTAGATATTTGTAATATCATAAATATATATTTATTTAGTTTAATTTATCACAAATAATTATGATAATTTAATGGTAATAAAAAAATTTTATGCATTTACCAGAATTATTATTTAATTAAATAGTGACGATTCCAAAGAATAACCTTAAAAAAATTATAAGTTAAAGAAGGTGAAATGGAAAAAACATCGTTATCTTCTTTCAGTGAGAGCATTTTGTTTTTATTGAAAAAGTTAGGTTGTTAGGTACAGTACATCAACTAAATAGATCAAAAAGGTAATTTTAGGATATACACAGTGTTTAGTGTTACTGGATTATAGATCAATAAAAAAAAAAAAAACCTTTCTTATTGAATTTCCATTCCATTAATCAATTTTCATTAAGAGTTCATTTAGTTGGCCTACAGTCTAGTTGATACAATATATCCTGCATATGTCAATATATTCCATGCATGAGGTCATTGATAAATGTACAGGATACATTTATCAATGACCTATCTCATGCATGAAATATATATTTTAATGTAAGTAATCTTTATATTTTAAAATATACATAATATTTTTTTATATTTGATAATATGTTATTTACTCTGTAAGAAAATTTAGTATAAAAAATGGTGTAGAATTTTTCTACTTAAGTATATTCAATGTGTAAAGCGAAACAATGACAAAGTCTTTAAAAATATACAGTAGAGCCTCGATTATCTGACCCCCGATTAACCGACATCTCGGTTAACCAACCGTCCTAGTCGGCAAATTTCAAATGTCCACTAGTGATGTGGCACTACAATATTTGGCTTGGCTACTTTAATATTATTTTTACGTGTTTTAGCTGGCAACACTCATTCGACCATGAAAGGGAGCCAGTATTTAAACGAGGCTTAATTTTCTAATTTTTAACGATACAATAGCGACGATTATTATTTTAAAAAATTTTTGTTAGGCTTAACATTGGTGAAAATTCAACGCAAAGTAGATTAATAGCGATATACTAATATACTAATTACATGGGATATAATAATATACTACACTAATAATGGATTTTTTCATACTTTTCGATTATCTGACTTTTCAATTATCCGACCAACCCCAGTCCCCAATTGAGTCAGATAATCGAGGCTCTACTGTAACAATAAAGCAGATTTTTATATCATAACAGATGTAATATAAAAATCTGCTTTATTGGTGTTCACTCCAATGACAGTTTTTTTCTCAAACACTTTCATGCAACTAAGCCCATCATCAGGAGACACACAAGTGAATCAATCAGCTTAGTAGCCAAGTCACCTACAGCAGATTTTTTTGTTATTGTTATATAATCAATGTATTAAAACTATTAATAAAGTCAGGTACAATATTGCAAGAATGATAATTAAAACAGTCAAAAAGTCAGAAAAAACAATGTTACATACAAATAAAAACTGAAGAAATTCCATCTAATGGATTTTCTTTAAATTTTTCAATTAAAACACAAAAAATATATTAAACATATTTTTATATTATGTAGCTGCTTATTGTATATCATTTTGTGTCTATTACACGAAAAAATATGTTTAAAATTCCTTTTAAATTGGAAAATTATAGTCTAACAATTTATGAACCTGCAAGTATTTTTTAATAATGAAATGCTATAAAATTTAAATCTTTTTTCATATTACAGAATGGTGAAAAACATATATATATATATAAAATCACAAATGAAATATATTTCCAAAGATATTCATGTATTTGTAAAATGTATGATTTAAAGATTTATTTTTTAGAGATTATTTTACTTATGAATATATTTTTTTAACGTAAGAGTTTATCTGAAAGTTTTTAATTTTTTATTTTTTAATAAAACATAATTTTAAAATAAAAATGCAAGCTAAAAGTAAGTCAATAAAAATTTATCATCTTCATTTATCAAAAAAAGCAATTAATGGCAGCTAAAAAGATTAAACTATTACATTAAGCCAAACAATAATTATTATAAACTAAATCAAACCATTTATAGATTTTATTAAGTCATAAATTTTTTCATTAATTCATTTTTCATTAACCAATATATCCAATATATACAATATATCCAAACAATGTCAAAAATACTTGATGAATTAATATGTAACTATAATTCAAAATTATTATTTTATATTGTAAATATTTTAGTAACTAGATAAAATGTACAAAATTGTATAGACTAACAGAATTAATTCTCTTTTTTCCTCAATAATGATATCTAGAAGAATTAAAATCTGAAAGCCATTTAAATGTTTTCCAAAAACAGATAACCCAATACTTTCAAAACTTTTACTTCATCACATAAAACAATTTTTTAATCTTTAATGAAGTAACAAAGGCAGCAGACTGCCACAATTGGGAGGACCTGGACACAAGTCAGATTTAAAGGGAATATATCAAGCCTCACCGTGGCTTGACAAAAATCCTGATGAGCATAAAAAAAAAGTCCCTCTTTGCAAAAAGAAAAACTTGTTAGAAACAGCAAAAAATTGGATTTTTATTTTATAAGGTCTCATGAAATTTTGAAAACAAGTAGTTTCAATATTGTATTGAAAAAATGGCCTTCCTTACACATACAAATTAAAATATAGGTAAGATTTACCAAAATATATCAGTCTCAAAATCACAAAAACAAATATTGAAATAATTTAATATTTTATCTGGTTTTTAATAGCATCTTCCAGATTTAACCTGATTAATCAGGACACAACCAAAAGTTTAATATTTTGTTTCTATTGCAAATATAAATATTTTAAATATTGGCTGGAAATATCAAGCTATTTATATCTTACCTTATTATAATTGCATTGTTTATTTATATTGACAAATCATTACCTAGAAAATTAAATGGAAAAAAAAAACAGGATAGACTTCTATTACCAAATGATTGAAATATTTTGCTAATAAATTTTTATATTTATTGTGAAAACTACTTTTAAAAAATACATCACACCATAGAATTATATTTCACTATTGATTTTATGTATGCACATATACCTTACTACAGATGATAAGATTCAAATTAATTTTGGATCTTAACATCAAATATCATTTTTGCAGTAAAGATAAACGTTTAAAATTCATTTCTTTGATTGATATTCATAATAATCGTAGGGAAATATAATAATACAATAGTACGTGCTACTAAGTTAAATGATCAATCAAATCAAAATTTCCTTTTTGAGAACCGGTCGATAACATCTGTAGCTCAAACCATATCAAACAAAACTCAAATTTTCAATAAGTACTTTCCATACTTGGCATATTCGTCTTTTAAACAGAAGTCCACTCTTTCCTCGTTGGTTTTAAGTTTGACGAAACGTGGAAACGTTCTAGATTTCCTGATATGATCCAAAACATCGTCAAGCACTTCTTGCCAACATGTCTGGTTGGAAGCCATTACATCATCTCTTTCTTCCCAAATCCACGTTGCCAGATCCTTAATATAGGTTTTCATTTTCGATTTTTTTTTTTTTTTTTATTACCTAAATATATTTATAGAAATATTTATATTTTTATTATTTTTGTGTTTTTTATGAAAAAAAATTCAATAAGAATCTCTTCTGTGGTTTGGTGGAAAAAAAAATTGATTTATCATCTTGCCATAATGACAAAATGGATTAACGTTGGTATTTATATTAGAATTGCTAACCCGATAACAATATGATCTATTGGATTAGCATATTGAATAGATGATAATGTTGAGTTAACAATACCAATTCAATAAATTATAATGTTTTTCAATTTAAATCGAATACAATAATTTTCTATTGTATTTGATCTGAAGTTAACGCACAAGATTAATACTATACATCTTCAATGTTGATGCTCTTATGAAATCCATGGGCGCAATTCCAGCATCTTCAGTCTGTTAACGAAAACAACAAAACGGTAGTAATTTTATTGGATGAGGACCAGTGACTTTTAAATATGGTAGCAATAAAAATCAAGCTTTAATTCTAGATCCCTAGTTCTCTACATTTTTCTTTCATACATAAGACAAGTCGGACAAAGTCGAACAAAGGGCAGGGAAGGCGAGGGGTTGAGCTTCAGTGGACGTTTTCCCTTTCTCTTTGTCCGACTTGTCTTAACCATTACATTAAATTTTACAAAACATTACAAAACATGAAATTTTATACAGTTTATTATACCTGTTTCAAAAATTCTTGTATATTTCGTTTCCACTTATGGTATCTATCATTCATAAAGTGATAAAGATTTTGTTGGACGTCGAAGAGAGGAGAGGAGGGGTTACGGAAACTTGAACAGACTGGAATGAGAGGAGGGCGGGCGAGTAAAAATTTAAAGAAAAATGCGGACATAATTTATGGACAGCCCCGTAGTGTTCGAGCATATCCTAACTCTATGTGAATTGATTATAGCAGCTCGTGTCTGTGAGGACGAGTAAAAGGTTCATGCAATGATTTGTCGAAATCTCACTGTTTACAGACAGAGATCACGAAATTCGCCGCAAAATTCAAATTTTTTTAACATTAAATTCAGTCGCTACATAACAGTAAAATTTTCTTGTTGTTGAGAGAGGATCTATTGTGACTCGTGCGGTTATTTATTGCGAGCGCTTTTTCGAGTTTTGCTTCGTTTGCAGCGATTATTTACGTAAGTTTAAACTACGATCTTTCTAGATTTAAGTACTTTTTAACTTTGATAAGCAAAATATCACAATTGGCGGCGGTGGTTTTCAATAATAATTGATCGGTTACCTTCAGAGGAATCGGTCCCTTTCAATGTCGGATTATTACAATTTTTTTATAAACTAATTTCTAAATAGCATTATTTCTTAATTAATGCAAGTTCTGTTTTCACAACATTGGCTGATATTCCTTTGCAGAACGGACAATTTCAAAGAATTGAAGGAGTGGCACACCTCGGGCCATGCTGAGCCCGAGGATGGAGCCTCGTCTTCGCCTCGTGTAATACGGGTGCTTCCGAAAGATGCGGAGGAGGAGTCGCATACACTCGACGTCAAACGGGTGGTCGTCATAACTTCAGATGACAGCGCCTCGTCTCTTGTCCATTATCTGGAGCGGCGATACCCCCGAAGTTCTGGAATGAACGGTGAACACACGGTCACTCGACAGAAAGGAGTCCAAAAAAAATGAGGGAAGAATCCGTCGAGCGTGAAAGACTTTGGTGGAAAAGGTTGTTTGTTTTTCTGCTGGTAACATAAACCCTTTTTTTGATGAGGCTTTCTTGCACGGATTTCTGCTTTCCACCTAATATGACACTCACCCGGCTACGACTTACGACCGGCTACAAGCGTTGTCCTGTTGCAAGATAATTGGCTCCAGGTGATTATTTTTTGTGTTAGAGGCAGCCTGGCGCCAATAATCTTGCAACATGACAACGCTCGTCCACACACCTAGCGTGCAACTGGAGATGCACTGCGAAACCTGAAGTTTGAACCGATTCCATGCCATCCTTATTCCCCCGATCTTGCGCCTTGCGATTTTTATTTTTTTCTTCTACTCAGGAGAGACCTCAAGGATAATCATTACACCTCGGACGATGAGGTGAAGGCAGCTGTCAAGTCCTTGATTCGAGAAAAGTCGGAAGAATTTTTCAGCGACGGAATGAAAAAACTTGTTACACGTTGGGAGAAACGTGTTAGCCTTAACGGTGACTATGTTGAAAAATAAATATATGATTTTGAAGCTTAAGAAATGTGCTTTAATGTACTTTTTGCCCGATATTGCTATTTGTTTTTGTTTGTGTTCTACAAGCATGTGTGCATTACTTTTCAGCCTACCCTCGTATATTGTTGATAATTACTCTTTGTTTACATATTTTGAATTGTAAGAACGAGTTCACTTTTATGATAGTTCTTCGTGAAACTATTGCTCACACAAGAAAGAATAAAGTAAATACAAAAAAGGATATAAGTTTAAAAATATCTCAATAAACACTCAGATATAGTTTAAAAATACATATAGTCTATTATATTCACTTAATTACTGCAACAACAACATAGTTCAAAATAGACGCGTCTTTTACTCATTACGTCATTACTGCGACAGGTAACACATAACGCTTGCGTGGAGTGGAGTATATTTTTTCCCGTGCAACATACTTCTTCTGTTAGTAATAGAGTGTGTCGGTATGTATCTAACTTCGTTCAGGAGAAATTTTTTTAATTGAAATAATGTGACTTTCGGTTTCCAACGAAAGTTCGGATATACTGTAGTTAATTGGGGCCTCCTGTTTCTAAGCCTTCCATATCTGATCGTGGCATTAATCTATCTAACTCCGTTCTCGAGATTAGGGATAGACAGCAACGGACGACAGTGAATTTATAGGTCTACAAGTCTTTTAAGATGCAGCGCAATAAGTACCCTCCAGTAACCGAGAATGTAAAACCATCGAACACCGGTAGTCTGTCATGGGTTCGCGCGTCGCCAACAGATTGGCCACGTGCAGTTTTCTGGGTTTTCATCACGTTTGTAACACCTAAATAGGGAACACCTTTACATAAGTCTTCCCGAGATGCATCCTCCTTGACAGAACGCTTCCGCCGTAACCAAATAAACCAACCAATTCTAATAATTTGGAATGCGTCTGTCTCCATTGAGAGCCTGAACAAAACCATAATGGGTGGGGGAAAAAAGGAAGCGTACCAAAGTAGGCATGATTAATATTTTTAAATATAATATTAATTTCAGAATGTGATTATGATTTTAACGTGAAACAGACTGTTGGTAAAAAAAGAGAACCCAAACCTAAAAATATAGAAGATCAGGAGTTGAAAAAGCAAAAGTTTGCCTTAGACCAAAAGTTTGGGTTAGACTTAACTCTAGATAAAGGTTAATCTTCGAAAATTGGCCAGTTTAACATCAAAATATGTGAAAATCAATTCATAGAGGTCGTAAAATTCCATTTTAACACATATATTTTGTTGACAAAAACGAAAGGAAACTATGCATCTAACAAATANTTTCATTCAAGGTTTTCCATTAAAATGTCATAATTTTTATACATTCTAACTCCAGATCAATTAATAGAACATTTAACATTTAGAATATAAATATATACATACAGGAATCATTCAAGTATTACATCAGTACTTCTTAGGGGAGGCGAATTCGTTTATGTCTGGCGATTGCTGACGATGAGGGCAGGAGAGCGAGTCTTAACGTAAGATTGCACCTATAGTTTATTTTTCTCCCCAGTCATCAAAAAAATTGTCTGAAAGTAATTCATGTGTGATTGCAAATGGTTTTAACTTCTGGCTTACGAAGAAGTATCTTATTTCTGTTGACTAATGATGATGGAGATAAAAAGAAACATATTTTGCTGATATAATACCTGAATGGCCACGTAGTTAAAGACATTTATGGCATATTTCCATTTAGAATCGTGCGAAAGCATAATCCATCTTGCAGACTTCATTCTAAATCATGCATGTATCCAACATTTTTTTAAAATGTTGGAATACTTTGCTTTACCTCATAAAACGCATTCATTATTCATTTTCATTGCTGATAATACCCAATCTCTTACCAAGATTCTTAATTTTATGCACTACCTCTTCTTGCACTAAATTGAAACACATAGCAATCAGAGCCATTCCTCCAAGTACATAAATAGAGCAAATGACCAACTTTCCTTGAGATCCACTGTCAGTAACAACACTATCACCAGGTACTAAATCACCAAAGCCGATGGTACTTAACGTTATGAAACAAAAATAGACACCATCTAAAAAACTCCATTTTTCCCAAGCAGAAAATAAAGCACCACCTCCACATATATAAATTCCTATAACGAAAAAGCACCAATGAACGGGAACGGTAATTATATTTCCACTTTTTCTTCCTTTTGGTTGATCTGTTTCTCGATATTCGATTAATCTCTTATTTTTTCCACATAATTTTACATAAACATACTTGAATCCTTTAGCTAGACCGTTTCCTATGTTTGTTAGATAGAGAAACATTAAAGGAATACCGACTATAGCATACAGTATAGTCACTATCTTTCCATAAGTAGTCTTAGGCGCGATGTTTCCATAACCTAGAACATAAAATTTAATCATTAAAATTAAAAAATTAATGAATAATTAAATTTTCTAACGTAAATTATTTTTTCATTCTCTAATTTAAAATTTAAAGATTTATTTATCTTTTAAATAATTTCGATAATTTCGTTTTACAAAAGTTATTAATAAAACTTTGAACTAATCTCTTAAGGCCGTATTCACACGAAGGATAAAAATATCCAATGACTGAGTGAATAAAATCACTGAACACTGATATTTGGTCGCGAGTTCGCTCCTCTCCAACGACTGATCATGCACAGTTTTCCAGATTTTAATCATCTAAATGGGAACGTTTCCTCTAGAAAATCTTCCCGACAGCATCCCTTTGGCAACTCATCAATCTTTTGAAGTTCAGAATATATTTATCTCTTAAATATTCAGTATAGAAAAACGTGGTTAATAAAATACAGTAATGTGATGTTAGCCGATTGGGGTGAGGATATTTCGACAGCCGAGCGGTCAACACTGCCGTGTGGGCGCAGAATGACTCACCGAGACAGGTTTACCATATAAAACCGTTAAATAACATTAAAATTTCTTACAACATTTTCTTGATTGACGGATTATCACATCACGAAGCGCGAGGATAAAGTTCAAGTAGAGTTCGAAAAGTTCGTGTTTCCGTTTCCTACGGTTCGGCGAAGACGGTGAAATAATCGTCGGCCCCGGGGCGAATGGCACTGCTTCAGGTGGTTTTTCTCGGACGAACCGACGAGCCTGGAGGTCGTCCGGTGACACTACAGATGAGGTTGCTTCTACTAGATCCGAAACGTTTTTTCCAAGATTCGGCGGGGACACACACGTCCAGGAGGATAAGACTATGAACCAAGAACCTTTGTAACTTGAATCGCACGGTTTTATAGATTTCCCAACCTCAGTCGCCTCTCCATTGGTCTCTCCTTGTCACCTGGTGACAATTCGAAACCCAATGGAGGGCGCGGGAGAGGTCAGCGTCGCGACTGAATATGATTCCTCTTTCGTCGCTTTTTCTCGACTTTATCTGTTTCCATTGTTTAAGGAAAAACAAAAAACAATTGCATTGTTCAATCGAGACACCTAATCCTTTTCATTTGCGTCTGAAAAGGAGCACTTTAATTCCGATCGATACCCTTCATTCGGACCTCTCAGTCGACCCCTGTTCGGGTCCTCACAGTAATTTAAAATATAATAATATAATTTTTAATAATAAAGCATTATTTTCATTAATAATTTCGTGATGGTCGGATAACCGAAGCAGTTAAGACGTCAGCCTATCGCTCTGAGGGATCCAGGAAAGCAACCTCAAAAATTTTTCATTGTGTAAATCCCGAATATGTCAGGCCGCGTCCCTCTACACCCGGTTGCCCGATTATGAGAATAGTCGAACCTGGGATGGATATAGAAAAAAAATGCCCTCTTAGTGTCCACAGGGAGGAAAAAGCCAAGAACGAAAAAATAACTTGGGTATAATATTCTTAATGAACTAATAAAATATTTTTAATTTATATTTTTTATAGCATATCTTTTAAAATTCATATTCTTATAGTTTTCTTATACTATAATTAATGTTAAATTCCATTTTAATACAGTATACAGAAATAGACAAAATTAATATTTTTTTAATATGATTCATTATCACAATTTTTATATTATTTTCAGTATTCTGTAGAATAATTTCGAATAAGTTGATACCCAAGAAACCGTAGTAAATTATTTATTAAATGCTGGGTGTCCGAAAATGTCGGTCTCAGTCCTCACCATCTGGACGTTCCTTTTGTGGGCCAGGCCGAACCCATAATGGGCTTGCTAAAAGAGGCCCTCTTAGTGCACAGCCCTGTTTTAAAACTTTCCGCCCTGTGCCCACAGGGCAGAAAGTTTCTAAAAAAAATACTACGATATGAATTATAAAACAGATTAATTAAATAAAAATAATCTGTAATGTCATACATCTGCAATTAAGAATTTTTTCAAAATTCAAAATATGAAAATTAAAAATCAGATCTATATTTTCAATAATTAGTTTTTAAAAATTCTTTTTAAAGCAAATTTGGGTCCTGTAATTCTCATAAGTGAAGTTATTACAAATTTTGTAATTCAATCACTTGTGTGAGAATTACAGGATGGCGACAAACTATTAAGGACAACTTTTATATCTACAGGATCGTTCATAAATTACGTATCGCTATTTTATACTTTTCAACTACCATCCCGCCCCCATAACTCTCCGTAGTGCCGTCACACATATCTACCCCCGAAATTACGTAGCGCATATCCTCGATTGACTCCTTTAATTGTACTAATAATACAAAACAAAGGTACCTCTGCCGTATATTATTCGAATACGTTACATAATTATCCGAACGTTATACAATTTTACAATTTAATTATAGTATACGTATCACGAACAAAGCAGTGATTTAAACATTACGGTTCGCTACTTAATACATCGGAAACAAAAAAGAAACGTTCCGTTATCCTACTTTAATAGGGTTCAAACCTTAACATTACACAACAAGGGCGTACCCAGGATCTAAATTAGAGGGGGCAACTCATATTAGTTTCGAGGAAGTGGAGAGGGAGAGTGAAACATGACGATTTCTTACAAAATAAAACTCAAAATTATTGAAAAACTGTTTTTATTATTTATTAATATACTAATGCCACTGTATACAGGGTGTTTATAGATAAATGGTGCGGTTTTAAAAATTGATAATAAATCGATTTATTACCTTATATGAATAAACCTTACAGCATAAGCAGCAGCAACTGTCCAAGTTTTTTATGCATTAATCGCAATCCTTCAATATGTGCACCCATGGTCACACGTCACACATCTACAAGGTAATCAAATTCTTTTCATACGCGGTGTAGCATGTTCTCGGTGATGGTCTGCAGTGCATGACAAGCGAAGACCGGGTAGCACGTAAAAAACTTGGACAGTTGCTGCTGCTTATGCTGTAAGATTTGCCCATATAAGGTAATAAATAGATTTATTATTAATTTTTAAAACCGCGCCATTCATTTATAAACACCCTTTATAAGGACCTACTACCTACCATGTAGTTAACTGAGTTAAATTTTTATGTTAGCAATAATCTTCTCGGATTTACTGAAAATTTTTCTATAACTTTTTTCCCCCCATCTCACGGTGTTCTTTCACAAAATTTCGATGCACGCTTATCAGGCATAACCCAGTCAGTCTTTCCTCTCCCATAGTGTTCCTAAGCTAGGTCTTCACACTTTGAAGCGTACTGAAGGATCGTTCTACGGTCGCCGCGGCCCACCAGTGGCCGAGCGGTTTCGTTACCCGAACACTGTGAGTTTGGTCGTGGGTTTGCGCCTCGCCAGGATGGGCTGGCCACGTGTTGTTTTCCGGGTTTTCTCCACGTCTGTAACGCCTGAATAGGGGCCAGTTACCCTTAAAAAGACATCCCGAAAGGCATCGCACAAGTGTTGCGTTGCCGTAAATTAACAAATAACGGTCGCCGTAGTGTATTTGTGAATTGAGGATGATTTTCTCATGGCAGGAAATGTTAGTTCAGAATCTAGAGCCATCTGGCGTCTTCGAGTGCAAGAATAGCGAAATAATTCTAAGATTTCACGACATATGACTAGTCTTAATCACAATATTCATTATTCAAACTGATACTGAATTGATACGTCTGTGCTGTGTCTCTGTGTGTCAATTACTACATTTTAATATTTCATATAGGGAGAAGCAGCTGCCCCTCGCTGGGTACACCCTTGTTACACAATGTTTTTTTGTAAACAGCTCATCTCTTTCTAACCTATCCTAACGATTACTTGCGTACTCATACACCCATGTCTGCGTTACGTAATGAATGAACATTTGCTATATATATATTGTTCACACCAACGAGCTAGAGGATACTACAGAGAGAGTGGCTGTAGCGACGCCATGTTTAAAGAAAATTGAATACACGTCCGCCATTTTATTTTAGTCAAGGGGACGTGGCATTTATGTTGTGCAAAGGCAACTAGCTAGAATATTCTAACTCGTTGTGTAAAAATGTGCAAAAGAAAAGAAGAGTTTTAACTGTTAACTGAGATGATGCGAGTCAAAATGACTTTTTAAAATTAATAAAAAACTAAGTAAAGTAAATAACAAGACATTTCTTTCTTTAACCCTTTATTTAAACGTTTCTAAACGGCAAAGTTCGAAATCCGGCATTCTATATAATGCCTAAAACTAGCCGGTAATCTATGAAACAAGTCATATTTTACAAATTTCCTAAGCATTCTATAGAATGCCAAATGAGAAACCGGCAAGTGAACAATTTTACTGGACAAACAGGAATTCAATGAGTGTTACAAAGTGATGCCACACCATTTGACTGCTTCTGTGTACTTTTTGGTGATTAACTTGTGGACAAAATTGTTAAAGAAACAAACAGGTATGCTGTTGTACTTGGTTTTGCACGATCACAATTACTGCTACTATCACTCACATTCTTACTTTCTACATATTCATCAATACCATCTGATAATACAGACTCATCAGAACCTAAATTGAACAAATACGCAATCATATCTGATTTGTTCAAAGCGCAATTTCTTTCAGCCGCCGTCATTTTAAAATATATCCTCACTACAGGGTCTAATATCGTTATTTCCTGTGAACATCTGTTCATATCATTGTAATAACTTACTTTGCGAGGCTAGAAATCATACCCCTTCACATGATGTGAGTCGCAGGTATGTATTTAGCCAAGTTAAATAATGTAATTTGTTAATAAATGTAATATTTTCATTTGTGAAAATAATATCAATCTGTTTATGTACAATTATATTAATATATAGTCTATATTTTTTATTTATACTGAATTTAATTTTAATGTTAATTTTTATTTACTTTCCCCAATTATGTATTCTCAGTTGATATGAATACATTTTTAACTTATGAAAATTCAAAATACATATGATAATTTTCATATTTCGTTGGCCTTAATCCTTACATGAAAATTAAATGTCATGT